ATAAATTTAAAAATAAATTTATAAAAATATAAATGTCAAACATTTTGTCACTCTACCATAAAATAACAGATAAAAACGTAAGAAGAATAAAAATATTAAATCAAAGACTCATAAAATGCTAAAAGTTTAATTAATCATAAGAAATAATATTATTCAATTTCTAGTTACAATTAAGGAAAATAAAGCCCTTGAATACTGGTATAGTTAAGTGGCAAGACTGCTTTTGTGTAAATTGTTACAGATACTGAAAAAGGTTTTTTGACTTTTGATTAACCAGGGTAACGTGCAGTGTTAACTCCATACTGAGGATTGCGGTGGTATAAAAGAACAATTTCTAAACGAGGGCACCATTGCTTATTGCAAAATTTTAAAGGGGCACATCTCAAGATATAAATGATACCAATTCCATTCCCTACTCCTCAACACTGGCTGCTTTTAAGACTTTCTCTTTAATACTGGTTTTCAGCAATTTGACTACGATTTGCCTTGGTGTGGTTTGAGCTTCTTGGATGAGATTCTTGAATCTGTGGGTTTATACTATCATCAAATTTGGAAATTTGGAAATTTTTTAGTCGTTATTTCTCCAGATATTATTTCTATCCTCCGACCCCTCCTTTCCTTACCTGACATCGACTACATGTATGTTAAACTTTTAATATTTTTCCTCAGCTCACTGAGGTTCTGTTCTTTCTTTCTCCCTCTCTATGCTTCCTTTCGGATATTTCTACATCTTCATGTTGATGGATTTTTTTCTGTAGTATCTAATCTGCTTTTAATGTAATTCAATGAAATTTTCAATTCCAATATTATATTTTCATCTCTAGAAATTCAATTTGTTTTTTTTTTAATAACTTCCATTTCTCTCTGCATTGTTTTTCTGTTTTTCTTTGAATCTTTGAACATATTTATAACAGTTACTTTAAAGTCCTTTTCTGCTAATTCCATCACATGTGTCATCTTGGGGACTGTTTCTGTTAACTGATTTGTCTCTTGGTTACAGGGCATATTTCCCTGCTTCTTCACCTGACCAGTAATTTTCTTATTAGATGCTGAACATTGAGTGCTGGATTTTATGGTATTCCCTTAAAGAGTTGGATATTGGTCTGGCATGGTAAGCTACTTGCAGATCAGTTTGATTTTTTTAAAGGCTTGCCTTTCAGTTTTTCATATGGGTCTATAGAAGCCTTTAATCCCCCTACTAACCCTGAACTTTTTGGTTTCCCTAATGAAATGCATGTGTATTCACAACGTTTCTCCACTTTGACTGATGTGACTCAAATGATTTCCAGGTTTACTTGAGTTCTGGGGATAGTTCAGTTTACAGCTCCCTAGTAACTATTTTCTCCCAGCAGTTCTTTTTTTCTGGCCATATTGAATTTCTCTTACCCACCAAAGACTAGTATTCCACCAAAGACTGCTAGGCAGATTTCCGGAGCTCATTCTCTGCATAGTTCCCTCCTCTCTGGTAATCTTCCCTGAAAATTCTAGCTGCCTCAGCCTCCCTCATTTCTGACTTCTGCCTTCTCAACTCATTGTAACTGCCAGCGTCTGTTTGGGTTTGCTTTCCTTGTGCTGCAGTCCAGAAATTGTTGGGGCAATCATAGAGTTCATCTTGATTAGTTCCCTTCTCTCAGAGACTATAGTTAGTCAATGTATAACCAGTTGTTTCCTTTATTTTGTCCAGTTTTCTATTTGTTTGCAGTAGGAGGGCAACTTCTGTAAGCAGTTCTGCTTTCATAGAAGGAGGGGTCAATTTAAATAATTCCAGAATAACAAAACTATGCCAACAAAAATATTGTATTTTCTTACTTAAATATAGCATTGTATATAGGAATAGCAGAATGCCAACCAACAGTATAGCAGCCACTATGTCTGGAGGAAGGAGACCAACTTCCATTGTTGACTAGAGCCCACCACCGCTCTTGCTAGTGTTTCAGATCCAGTGAGATTTTCTGTGATGCCCATTCAATGTCTAGTTTAGAGGACACCTCCTTACAGCCCTCTGCTAAGGGCTGCAGCAACTCCAGCTTGAGCATGTGGAAATTTCTGAGGAGGGAGATGAAGGGGCTGCACACTGGGTGCTATCACAGGTCTTCTTGGTCTAAATATGCCCCATTGCCTTCTACTTCATGGCACACATGTCAGTTTGGCATGGAACGCTCTTTGAGGCTGCCTCCAATTAGAATTCCAGGCCCCAAACAAGTGAAAGTTCCTTCCGTGGATAGAATTGAGCTATTTGAGAGTTTTCTGCCATCTAGTTTATTGTATAACCCACCCTCCTCTCTACCTGGGGAGGAGGCAGGGCAGGAGCCTCTCTGGAAACTTACCTATGATTCACTTACCTGCTCTGCTCACCTTTGGGATCCTTTCCACACGCTTTGGACTGAATCAGGTCCCCCCTCAAATTCATAAGTTGAAACCCTGACACGCAGTGTGGCTGTATCTGGAGTAACGAAGTAATTAAGGTTAAAGGAGGCAGGAAGAGGGGAGCCCTGATCTGACAGGATTAGCGTCTGTATAAGAGGAGACACCTGTAGGCTTGCTCGCTGTCGCTGCCAGGTGAGGGCACAGAGAGAAGGAGAAAATCTGCAAGCTAGAAGGAGAGTCTTCACCAGGAACTCAATCATCTGGCACCTTGATCTCGGACTTTCTGGCCTCAGAACTGTGAGAAATAAATTTCTGCTGTGTAGCAGAAATTTCTTTTGTTTCCTTTCTTTGGGCTAGAACACTGCCCTCCTGTTTTCTCCTGTATCCTTCATATTTAAAGGTTTTTATTAAAAACTCTTTTATCAACCTTCCAGGCTTCGTTTCTTGACATTTAAAGGAAACACTATGGAATTAAAAATGAAAACAAAACAAAACCTTCTTTATCTCAATCTCTTGCCTGCCTCTTGAAATTGAAAACTAAATTCAAGACTATCCTCGCTGAAACTGATTTGATGAACCTAATTTTGGAAGCCAAAAGCCAAACTCTGACTTTTTCTAATTATAGCAGTCTTAATCCTCTCAGAGGTAATGAATAGCTCCAGTTGAAGAGAGGTGAGGTTAAAAAATATATACAAGGAAGTGACAAAAAGAAAAGCATAGTAATGTATTTCGAAATATTATTTCACTACACAAATATAATACAAGATTTTCTACCCATGCATTAAAAATAATTGAGAAGAAATAGGTAACAACAAACAATGGTTAAAAAAAGGAGCATTCTGTTCTAAGCTACTTCTCTTCCCTCTCTCTATCCCATGGTACTGTTAGAACTCAGATGACAAAGCCCTTCTCTTCCTTGGTAAGATCTCCGCATCTCCTCTTGGTCCTGGGTCCTGGTGTGCAGAGGCTCCTCTAGACAGGCCTACTTTACAGTGACAGTCCACTTCCCCCGGCAGCATTATTATTCATGTGGTTTTCATGGAGAGTAGCCTCTCTTATTTTCTCAGGTCCTATTTGTAGCACCAGCTGTAACACACTTCTTGATATCTTCTTTAATTTCTTGAGATATTTAGAACAATATCCTCCACCGGCAGAGTTGGGACCATCCATATGGCATCCCATGGGGTCACCTGGATATATTGCCTTTTCTACAAAATCAGCCGGTTTCCTATGATTCAGTTCAAACATCTTCCTACTCCTTTCTCTGAGTTTTTTACATATCTGGTATCTTCCATGAGAGGTTTTAAGATTGCTTTTAGCCTCTTCTTTTTGGAGAGATTTAATTCTTGATTCCTTTTTTTTCTAGAATCCATTTACAACTTCCCCTCAGGGAACATCAGAATCTTTTGCAAACATACTTACTGACAGTTTGTCCTGACATGTTATAATTTTGGGTGACTATACAAATTAGGCCTTTCTGGAATCCAATCCAAGCTGGTTAAAATGACGGAGAGGATTTATTGGCTCATTTAACAGTTGACATATAAGTTGGCTTCAGGGTTGGTTTGCCTCAGCTGCTCAGTCATGTCTTCAAGGATTCAGTTTCCTTTTATCGCCTCTCTGTCTCTAGCAAGTTCAGCTTCTTCTTAAGCCTGGTTCTACTTTGTAGTCACAAGATGCGTGTGTCACTTCCCATGGCAGTATGCTTCTCCATGCGCATCTATGGTGGAAGAGGGGATCATTTCCAAGAGTGTTCTCAGAAGAGGGAGAATACTTTTTCTTTAGAAACCACCAGAAAAACTCTCCTTTGATCTTATCAGCCTGAGATCAGTCATCCTGGAATGAATAACTGTGACCAGGGGAGGGAATATGTTCATTAGTTTGGGCTTCAGCCACTTGTCCCAGTGCTAGTGTGAGATGCCCAGGGGAAGCGAAGATATCTGAATGAAGATTTGACTTTTGACTAAGGAAAGGGAGAGTAATGCTGGAGAGCTAACCACAATGTCCAGTATATTTAACTACTCAGAAGAGAATAAATGTCTTGAAAGGAAAGAAAAACATGCTAAGTATTTAGTTATGTGAAGCCTTGTGCCCGGCACTACATGTGTTTCTGATGCTGTTAGGGAATGCCTGTCCGGACTATTACCTCCTTTCTTTGAGAATTTCCCTGCCCTCAGGGATGGGTTCTGACAGCCTGTTTGTTGGACAAAGGTGATTGTATCAAGGATAGACACCTGGTCCAAACTAGGCCCATTGTCTTTCTTCTCTAAGAATTTTAAAGTGGGATTCAAACTAGTTAGTATCTGCTGGTCTGTGGGAGCAAACATGTAATATAGGAAGTGGAGGTGTGGCCGTCGTTGTATGTGCATAGAGAAACAAAGAAAGACAGTTTGGTGAAAGGGAGGAGAACAAAGTAGATTATGAGCAAAGAGGAGCAGGTTGAGGAGTTGTTTGACTCTAGAGAGGGAAAGACAGAGAAGAGCTTCCTTGGTTCCTGATGACTTCCACTCTCACAGTTCAGCTACTCCTTAAACCCATTATCTGCGTAACAGGTTGTTAAAATGGAACCCAAAGACAAAGAACAATATAAAAGATTCTAGAACAATTCCCTCCCCCTACCCAATGCCCAAGATTCTAAGATGAAGTGCTGACATGTGAAGGGATAACAGGATGGTCTGCCAGCTTGATCATGTACCCCAGCTGGTATAAGAAAAAATGGTTGGAGAGTAGAGGTTTCTTTGTGTGAGCTTTGTGTGATATTCCCTGCTCCCTCCTCACAGGAACAGAGGAGGCTTTACTTTTACCTCAAGCCAATGAGCGAAGACTGAGGAGATTTTGATATTTGATATCTGTGTCCCGGAGATTGAGGGAGATAGACAATGGCATTTGACTTAAGTCTGAGAAATCCAAAGTGAAGAGGTAAAAAGAGAATCCACTGGGGTAGTAGGCCCTTCCGCTCAAATTGGGTCATGTGGACAAAATGACACTCCTTTCAAAGGTGAGTTGACCTGGGTCATCTTAAAGGGAAATCTCTTCCAAAAAGATAGCCCCAGTGGGTTATGATACATGAAGAAATGGTGAGTTGCTGGATGGACGCTCAGAACAGAGGTACCCAGAGGAGGGCATTGCCAAGGGCAGGGGGCTTTGTTGGTGATCTTGAGTGAGACTCCGAAGAATCAACAAAAGTGTTCAAAAGAGAAAGAGTCGGCAATGCTTCTTTAGTCCAGCGGGCACTGAGGCCAGATAACCTTATACCAGCTATGCAGCCTGGCCCCTTTCTTCTAGTTCCTCTCTTCCTAGGCTGACTTCAGAGAGAGCTCACAGTGGGAGAGGAGGCAGAAGAGGAAATGCTTAAGAACCAGCCCTGCTCCCTTCCCCTCCTCCCCCCGGGCCTCCATTCTAGGAATGGGGAAAGTCTGACACTGAATAAGAGTCTAGATATTTTATTTCTTTACTGGAGTGGACTCTAACTTTACAATTATTAGACTAGACTGGAACTTTTGATGCCAAACATTATGTAAGAGTGAGTATAAAAGCCATGGACCGACTACAGTTTCATGTTTAACAGTGAGAAATAATACATTTATTTTCTTTTTATATTTTATCACAGACTGAGGTGTCATATACTGAGGGTATAAACCAGGAACTGTGGTAGTCTAATTTGGGTACAATATAAGTCTGGACAGGGTTAGGGAAAAATAAGTCTGGAAATATCTTAGAGTAATAGAGGGCAGTTCTTTAACCTCACTTCTCCCCTTGTCTCTCCTCTAGAACGGCCTCCTTCTCATTCTCTGAAGAAAAAGGTTTGAGGGTGAAGGGATCCTTTCCATTTGACCTATGTGAGAATGTACAATTTGCAAAGTAGGGATTATGTGCTAGAACTCCACAAGGTATAGGGAAAAATTGCAAGAGTTTTTGAGATAGGTCAACCTAGTTTTGAATCTGTTATTGTTGTAAGAACATACTATTTCTGAAACTCAATATCCTTATCTGTAGGTCGGGAAATTACTCTCTAAGACTACTGTGAAGGATAAATGAAATAAGATGAAAATGAGGCAGATACATAAAATAACTGTGTGACCTTAAGTAAACTGCAAATGTCTTGGGTCTCTGTCTCTCAGTTTGCCCATCCCACTGTGTTGTCAATGACACTTCCTGTCAATGTTTGAAGTACATAACAGGAATTTTTTTAGGCAAGGCACAAAGTATTGTTTTTTTATAAATGCTCAGTAAATGTCAAGCCTGTATTTTTTTGTGTCCAAAATTAAAACTTTCGTTTTTGTTACATAAGAAAGGTCCTTTTGGTGAGGGTAGGAAGGATATTTAAATGGAAAGCTATATATATTAGGCCTGAAAATTGTTAATGACGTTATTTAAAATGACTAGAAAGGTACTTAAGGAAGGTAGCAGTTGTAGGCTTTCTTTTCTTAGGAAATCAATACTCATAAAACTCAAGGATGGAATTGAGAATTAAAAACCACAGTGAGTTTATTTTAAAACATGTAGTCTGTCATCTTCGTTTTCCCTTTGGATAACACAGTGTTTATATCCTGAGGTCTATTTATGTTGCTGCGACTTTCGCTGACTTTGAAGTGAACTTCACATGGTGCTAGAATCAGAACAGCGGGGCTTAGAGATCACACAGTCCAACCCTCTCATTTAAAAAGAGTAAATTGAGGTCAGAGAGGAAAGTGAATCGCCAGGACACCTCCTCTGTTTCCTCCGAGTTATAAAATGGAACCTCCTGTTGTTCTTAGCCACCAGGCCCAGCTCTGAGAGGCCAAGAGTCGTCCTCCCCTGCTCCCCCTCCCTCGGGCCTTGATCTTCCACTAAACGTAGACAGTGCCTGGCACTTAGCAGGCACTCCATAGTTCTTAAAAAGAGGAATGGTATTAACTGTGAACAGGGTTTCGTTCTCACCAGAGCCTGATTAGAGCCTCTGGCATTCTTGGTGTGGCTTAGGAGAATCACTAACTGCTGGTTAAAGAAAAAAAAAAAAATCCTTGCTGCTCGTCTCCAGGATACATGCTTCATGGAGATGCCCTTGTGAGAGACGTTCTACAGCCGATCAGCCTGCAATTTAATGCATCCTCCTCGTGTGACTTCTCATCTGCAGATTCCTTTAGAGCCACCATTTCCTCTGTCCGGGGCATCTCGAGGCATCCAGCAGCTCTCCTCTACTTGGCAAGCACACAGATTTGTCATCAAAGCTCATGGTCAGGTCGGAGGGCTGCCGAGTTCTTCCGGGTGTCGTTTCAGGGTCTCAGAAAACAAATTTCATTTATGCTTATATTTTAAATCTGGCTGGTCCAAAATTTCAGTATTTACAAAGGAAATCTGTTTATTTCTTTTGATGTGACTCAGATAGAGACTAATTTTATTTGTATAGTTATCTTTAAGGTTATGTGGGTTGGAGAATGAGTCATAGACAACGAAAAAGTAAAATGTTGAGTAGAACAAACCCACTTAGAGGTTTGTAATTTTGGAGGTTTTTGTCTGAAGAGGAGATAGCTAAACCTGAGAGAGCAATAAGTGTCCTGTATGTTCCACGTAGGAGTGACCAGCTGTTCCCCTCTTTCCTAGGGTGAGCCCAATAGTCATTAGGGTTAAAGGGCAGCAGTAGGCATTTTTATTAGAACCAGGTAACTTTCTGGAGTTCCTTTAATGACAGAAAGATACCTTCATGGAGTCCCTTTCGCCTGTTTTCGAATTCCTTCAAGGCCAGTTCTGCAGCTCACTTCACCTTGTTCACGGATGATCTGGAGCCCTGGTCCTCAAAGGAACCCAGGTGCCCTGGGCGCCCCTTGCAGCGAGCTCGTAGGAGCCCCGCAGGACGGTTTACATGGTCGAGGGACAGCACAGCGCCATCTCTCGGACATCACGCCAACTACTATTATTAAGTTGTTCGGACCTCACTAGTACTTAATAAACGAAACTATTAGATTTACCCTAGGGGCACGGCGACAAATTTGCTGAGACCTCAGGGAACCACGAGCCAAGAAAGTTTGGGAACCTCTGAAGAGTGGTTAAGAGACGTCAGAAAGATCACAATTGACAAAGGAGTTAGCAAAAGAAACCCTAAACATTCTCCCTTTCTGTTTATTGCCTGCAGACTTCCCCACTCTGTTCTTAGCTATGTAAACAAAGGCAGACATCATTGTCAGGAGCCAGGCTCCAGCTTCTCTGCCTGTTATCAGTTTACTGCTACTTTACAGCTAATGAACCCTTTCTATTTATATCTTCGTGTCCACGTCTATAGATAGATGATATTTATCTGCACCTGTGCATTTTTTCCTAGAGATGTCTCCTTAAAAAATTATTTTTAAAAAGTTAAGGACATGGGTTTAATGTTACAGAATGTGCTAGAGTAGAAGCTGTGTAGTTCTCACATCTGAATTGAGGGCCATCATGGGGAGAGGTGTTGATGTGGAATTAATGTCCTCGTAGGTGACCTCTGTCAACTTTACAAGCTCTTTGATGACTGATTAGTCCATTTATAAAACAAAGAAAATAATGCAGATGTTATTGAGGTCTTGTGTTTATAAAATATCCTAAGATGCTCAGATGAAAGGTGTGACACGGGAAATGCCATCTGAGATGGACCCTCCCACAGAGTCACAGCTATCCCTCTCAATGTGACGGAAACTTGATATTTGAAAACTCCCTTGATAAGAATTGTGTTCTCATCAGCTCTGCCTTTTCTCTGAAATTTGTTCCAGTTTTCTTTCCTCTTTACCATCCCTTCAAATTGGTTGACATTTATAACCTGCAAGAGAGTCATTGAGCAATGACTTGAGAGGCCTCCGCAAACACAATTGCTTTTCCACCAGGTAAAGGGAATGTGTGTGTGTTTAAATGCGCTTGTCCCTTCTTTTTCAGTATTTGTTCATCAAGGAAATAGATGTCAGGGAAATGTCTGATTGCTTAATCTCACCACTATCAACAAAAACAGGACTATTTTGGTCTGCAATGCTCCCTTATTTTAGAATGTTTTCTAGGCATATATAGTAATTCAAAGAGATCAAAGTAAATCTCTCTGCCTAATTCACACAAGCCTTTATAATAATGGACTTTCATAACGTGCCTATGCTCAGGTGACAGTCACCCACTAAGCCTTTACTGGGGGGAAATTTGAAGTAGAGGGAGGATCTTATGTGTTATCTTTTTAATAAACAACACTTTTTCTGATGAAAAGAATAAAATGACCCTCACTCCTAGCATACAGAAATAAACACTATTGAAATGCTGACCTGCTTCAGTCTAGTCTTTTGTCTATGCACATTTTTGTGTTATATACATTTTTTTTGTTTTATTTGTCCCATTTATGTCACAATTTCTTTTGGTAATTTTGATTGCCATTCACTCCAATTAAGTCAATCATGTACTATTTAACACCTTTCTTTTTTCACTAGCTGTTTAAAAAGGCCAATTTAAGATTATTTTACATACAAGTTAATTGAAATTGTGAGGTATGGATTTAAAAGATATTATTTTTGAAATTTCCATCTGGAAGTTACATAATTTTATGTTTATTGACTCACTCTGTAATTAATTCTAAAGCTCATACCACCAGCTGTTCATATTGTTAAACCTTAAAATGGACTTTGGGCAAAAGAAATTTGATTAGCTGTTTGAGTTAGAATAAGTAGTATTCATGTGCTTTCCCACCGGATAACTGTGTTAGCTTTATCAAGCAAGCCTTTGAAATCTCACTCAATTCATGAAGCCATGTGGGTTTCATCTGGGGCAGTTAGTAATGTCCCCATTCTCAATCACTTAAAAATATTATAAGTCCCTCTGACTTATTGAATCATAACATGCCTTCACTCCATTATTTATACATAAAATAAATAAATATTAATCAGCTCAGGGCTAGTCCTGGGTAAAATTCATGAAGTTAGATTGCCTTTTGTTCAAAATTGTTTCCGTTTTGAGTCATCTTTCTTTCCTTCCTGTGCCCAGATGATCAAAATCTGAAATTGCTGCTTGGAGCCTGAGGAATGTGTCTTTCACTCCCTACTCAGCTCCCTTTTCCCAGCAAGGCTTCTGCTTTGGCCCTTTTCTGACATCGTTCCTTGCCCCCACAATCACCAGCCAGTGGTGGGTCTTACGATGACCAAGGGTCTTGTCAGATGACTGCATTGCTAATCTTATTGCATTTTGTTAACTGCAAATCGTTGATTAATGCTTCACGAGTCATGCCTCCTAGATTGTGCCCCTCACTAATTCATGGAAGCCTTTCAAGACCTTAATCCCTAAAAGGGACTGTCTGGGGTATAAACTCTAGGCAATAAAGAACGTTGTATTAAGGGGTAGTGAGGAAAAGAAAGCTACATCCATGGGATACTGGGTTTCCAATATGACTGTTTTGGATCTGATTCTCAGAGGATGACTTTGACCTGAGCATCTGTGAACAAGAGATTTGTTAGGGCAGTACTCCCAGGAAAAGCCAGTAGAGGTATAGGGGATGCCAGACAAGGAAGGGAAAGAAGTTAAGCAAGGGAGCAGTTTTATGTCAATTCCCAGCCTCAGCCTGATCCTACAGGAAGCTGTGCAGAATTCATTACATTTCAGTTTGTCTTGTCTTGAAGGAAAGGAGCTGGGCTTTCACTCTTCCACACTAGTCAGTCATTGGCCACAGGTTGCCCTGTGGGGGACATAAGCTTCTTGGCACTTACAGCTCTATGCAGGTATGGCCAAAGGGACTCCAGTAACCCACGGACAGTCCTTGAAAGACTGAAGCTATGAGCTGTCAAAAGGACAATATACAGAAGCCAAGGGACTCATGAGGAAGCACAAGACTCATAAGAAAGACCCAAGGGGATGTGGGTAGAGCACTGTCTATATCCACTGTAATGACATAAACTTGAGAGGGAGCATAGCGGGTGAATGATGTCTATGCAGCCAGGCCTTGAGCAGGGAAGCGTTGTTCCCAGGGGTAACTGCAACACCAAATCAAGATATGGAAGAACATAAGCACCCCAGAAGTCTTCCTTGTACCTCCTCCCATTCAATAGAACTTTTGAAAAGGTAACCAGTTCTCTATTGTAGTTAGTTTTCCTTGCTATGTAGCCATATGTAAATGAATAACAGTATGTACTCCTTTGTGTCTGGTTTTTTTATTCAACTTATTCTGAGCTACATCCATGTTGTAGCATGTATTTGTAGTTCATTACTTTTCATTGCTCTGGAGTATTCCATTCTATGGCTGTTTCTCAATTTATTTTACTGCTGATGGGCATTTGGTTTGTTTCTGGTCTGGGGCTAGTATGAGTAATGCTGTTATATATTTTTCCTAAGTGTATTTTGATACCAAAATGTTTGCATTTCTGACAGGTATGTTGGCCAAATACCTGAGAGTAGAGTTGATTGCATAGACCACGCATTTATTAAGCTTTTGTAGATATTGCAATATACACAGTTTCCAAAAGTGATCGTGCCGCTTTGACTCTCACTAGCATTGTATGAAAACTTCGGTTGCTCTGTATCCTCACCAGCTCGGTAGTCTCAGTCTGTAACTTTTAGCCTTTTTGGGTGTGTAGGTTGTTTTTTAAACTGTCCCTAAATTGAAAACTTGCAAGGAAATTTTGTAGAAACTTTCCTTGAAGCTAGCAACCTCTTTTGAGAAATGCTGATATTGGTGAATAACTACTCTTCCCACAAGTAAAATGAGTGCTAAATGTTACTTATTTATTCAACTGATAAATTCGTTTCTTAGTTTTAAGTCATTTGAGTCTGAATCAACAAGATCACTGTTTCACACACAAAATGAGTTACCTCCCTCGGAGAGTCCCTTGTATGCAGGTTGGGGCAGGAGATGAAGGGAAGCAGAGCCTGAGCTAACTTGGAACTCCAAAATGCACAGCAAAGAGGGGGAAGGAAGGAGAACCACTGGTTCCCTTTGTATGCAGAACACATTTGGGAGTGAGGCACTCTGAAATGGGAGTTCTGCCGCAGGATGCTCCCAGACTGGGCACTGTACCAGGTAGCATACAACAACCAGCAGGGCCAGGGAGCCCTCAGACTCTAAATAAAAGTTATTTGTGCACCTTGCAAATTTTCCCAGCCTGACCCCCTCCCAAACATCCAAGGCAATTTTCTATACTCAGAATTTAAAGTCACTTACAGTAAAAGAGGTTTTCATTGATCTGATGAAACACATTCCAACAATCCCTGTTTGATAAAGATGCTCAACCATAAATATAAATAGCAACCCCAAACTATAAACTAATCGAAGAAACTGAACCATGAAAGTGAGTCATTCAAAATATTCAAGGATCCAAAAAGTTTCTGAGTAGCACGAATAGAAAAACACTACCCACATTTAGACACACCCGAATGTCATTTCAGAATGCCAAACGTAAAGATAAAATCCTAAATGGTTCTCAAGAGGAAAAATTAGATTCTCTTTGAAAGAGTTCTCTCCTGATTAAAATCAGTAGCACCGGACACAAGTTGACAACAGAGAAATATCATCAAAGAAAGAAAAAAGTTACTAACTTGGAGTCCTTCACCCAGCCAAACTCACTCACGTGGGAGGGCAAAATAAAGATTTCGTTTTTAGATATGCAAAGACTTAGAAAGTTTACTATTTATGACTCATTTCTAAAAAAATTACTGAAGAACTCAGTTCAGCAAGACAGAGAATGAATCCAAGACAAAGACGTGGGATATAGGAACAATGGTGAGCACATAAACCAGTAAAATGAGTTAATCAAAACGTACTGTAAAAAGAAAACCTGAAATTAAAATAAAAGATCATTTCACCATGTTAGGTGAGTGAAGGCTGGGGAGAAGGACATGCTAGGCATCCTGTTTGTTTGGGGACAGATGTAGACAAGGAATGCCATTCATCTACTACATTAGTGAGTAGTATAATTAATTTTTAATAGGGCAGAAAACAATGTATGCACAAAGCCCTGTGAAGGCTCAGAGGACTCTGGAAAGACATTTCAGAGGAGGGGGCATTTGAACTCAGTCTTAAAGAAGAAGTGTTTGCCGAGTAGGAAAGGTGAGTAGAAGGATGTTCTGAGCGAAGCATCTGCATGAACAAAAGATGGAGCATTGTGCAGGGTTTGGGTTATTTGAGATAGAATAAGAAGTTCAGTGGTGGCCGTAGGGTGCATGGCCTGAGAAGTGTCTAGAAAATTCTTTTCTAAAGGGCCAGATGATGATCTAAATTGATTTCCTTATCATACTTTGTTAGTTACCTACTCCCTATCACCCATTTTGCTCCATGACTCATTATTTGCACTGGAAAACAGGGCTCAGCACATTACAACCTGCTAGAAATTTCATGTTCTTTTTGCATTAAGAGAAATCCCTCTGCTTTCAAGATCATTATGCATATATTACACAAGCAGTATAATGAGTCATATGCTAATTATACTTTTAAAACTAGGTGGTTAGGAAATCATGAAAAAAAGGCTTAGAAGATTTCAAACTCTCAAGAAACAGAGACTGTGGGATGGCACCAGTGATCCCCATAACAGGTTGCTGTGAAGTAAATGTGATCAATAAGCAACTCTGACTTACAGACCAGACCAGAGTTGCTAGAGACCAACCTGACCAAGAAAAAAAGGGGAAACGCCCTCAGACATTCAGTACAGGTTTCGTGTTCTTACTAAGAGGTTTGCTTTTACTGGAAATGACTCATCCTAATCAATAAATTATTCTGTTTTTTAATGTTCCATTACTTAAGATTATTTGTGGATATGAATAAGCCTCCGCTGTGCATGGAAACATAGGCAAACTCTCAAGAATGGCTATCGTTTTCCTTTTCAGAGTCCACTCAGAACCAGAAAATTGCTAAATTGCAACACCATGAAGCCAAAAGTTGCAATCATCATATAAAGAACTTTATTTTTGTGTAAGTGGAAGTTAGAACAGAGAGAACATACACAAAGTACTAAATGTATAAATACTATCTACATAGTAGATATGGAGGTGAGCAGAAAGACAGAAGAGAGTGTTTATCAAGTTTTATAATGATAATAAAAAAGGCAAAATGATGACTGTTCAAGTGTCAACTTAAGCTTAACCATTTCTCAAGGTATAAGTCAGAAGAAAAGGGATTTTTGGCAAAGTAGATCTTTCTTTGACACCAAGAGTACAGAAAACAATTGGCTTCCTTCCACAGAGACGTTCAATCAAATATATTTCTTGAAAAAGTAAAAACACACTCAATATGAATATAGTATTCATATAATGTATAGCCCCAGTGACATCTATATTGCATGAAACTTTCAAATCACATGTATACTTAATTTAAATTTACATCCTTTTTCTTAAAAAAAGATCTTGAGACTCTTATCAAGTCAGTTACTATTAGCACCAACTTTCTAATTCTGGGGATTGATAATTAATTTTTGGCTTACGCAGACTTGTGCCTCTGGTCTTTTCTTCCCTGTGTCTTGCCTTTTAAGCAGTCTTTTCACGATTAGTGTTTTACTCAAAGCAGGAAGCTTTAGGGATAAGAGATGGAACATATCTGTCAATTATGTCACCTTGGAGTATCTCTAATACAAGCTTTATATATACATGTATAGAGAGAGTTTTGGGTTAAAAAAATCACTAAGTAAGGAAGAAAACTCGAACCAATATCAAGAATTGATTTAGATCATGTGTGTGCTGTTTGTCGCTCTTTCCCACAGAAATCCGAGATGGTTGTGAATATTAATTAAAATAATATACAGAAGATTATGCTCAGAGTATTTCTTACTTGACACATGTCTCAGTGTTATATAAATTTCAAATTAAATCCCATAGACTATATTTGCAGGTACAATTGAGTTGATCCGAAGAGTCTATGAAAACATTTCACGGAACAACCAGACATTCAAAGAAAAAAATCTTGTCTGCTTTTTTACGTCATCACAGAAATTGGATTCTATTCTTATCAAAAATTGTAATCGGAAAAGACTGTGTTCACACCGATTGTGCAAAGGTTTGGTATCCACTCTGATATGGGATTCTTCTAGAGTTAAGATAAATCTGAAACATCTCAATTATAACCTTACGTACAGAGAGGCCCCTTCTTGGAATTTCCCCGGGGAACTCTAGATCTTCGAGTTGTGCCCCAAGGTGGTAAGAAACTATTTGAGACTGTCCAAACATGAAGGGGTAGAGGAGAGATGGGCTGACGTGCCAGCAGAAGGTCAGTTTGGGGTTGGAAGAAGCCCCTAGTCTGGGAACTATAAATCAGAACGCTCGCTGGTCCCCAGCTGTCGGAATGAGGCTGTTGGCAGCAGCTGGCTGGGGTCTCCCTGGTCTTCCACTAGCTGCACCTGAGTGCCCTTTAAGAGGTTACATATATTTTAAAGTGAAGAGCCTCACCATCTCTGGAGGGTAGTCTTTTCCTCTCTTCTTCAATTATTTAAAATAGCCTCTTGATAAAGGTAGTGCACAAATGCTTTTCCTGATGTTTGTAAGATGAACGAGAGGCTTTAAGAGTCTGCCAAAATTTCCGTGACTGTCAAGATCGTGCCTGACATCAATCACACGACGTTACAAGGCACTGACCTCAGGTGACTCACAAAACCCTGCTTTGAGAAACTGTGAAACGAAAATCTTGGGGGTAATTGAGGGTGATTGCTCTCTAGCTGGAAAGATTTTTTATTTTTCCTTTTTCTCCCCAAAGCCCCCTGGTACATAGTTGTATATTTCATTGTGGGTCCTTCTACTTGTGGTACGTGGGACGCTGCCTCAGCGTGGTTTGATGAGCAGTGCCATGTCCACACCCAGGATTCGAACCAACGAAACACTGGGCCGCCTGCAGCGGAGCGCACGAACTTAACCACTCGGCCACGGGGCCAGCCCCTTGATGACATGTTTTAAAGAACTAAACTGGAGATAGTATATTAGCTGGGGAGTCGCCTTTTTTTTCCTTCAGAGTGTTCCTTCCGAATGAGTAGACATCTAAAAAAGTAAGACTGATGGGGGGCTTGGAGAGAACTTGTTCCTTCAGGTCTGCTCTAACTGATGAGTATTGCCAGAATATATTCACACTTTTTCCAATCACGTTTTGTAGTGTGAAATACCATTTACGTTTCGAACATTTCTTCTGAGAAGAAGACTTGAAGTTCCTTAAGGTTTAAGGAGCTTCCTCTTTTGCCCTGTTAATTCTCTCTGTTTTTCTCTCACATTTATTCATTCATTTATTCATGCTGTTTTAATTGTGTAACAATAAAAATAAAAATATTCTCCGTTTGTTATCCATACCTAAGAGAAACAATCGACAAAGATAAACAAGAAAATAATAGCTGTTTTCATGGAAATTACAGGAAAACAAAGATTCTCCTGATTTCTTCCAGGTATTACTGTAGCTCATACGCCTTCTATTGCACATACCAGCAAGTAGACTGAAAGGCCCGCTGTGTACCCGCAGTCTTTCCTAAGGTAAATATGAATGTGATGAACAGTGTTCTTTTGCATTTAATCGGTGAGGTAAACTCAAGATGCTTATGGAAATAAGCAGGTTATCCTTAATTAAAAGACAAAACATGATTTTTGAAAAACTACTCTATTTTAATGTCTTTGGTTTAAGGGAGAGTGTGAAAAAAGTCTTTCTTGCATAAAAATCAAGACCTTAGAAAGAAAGTACTATTTAAAAAAAATTTGTTATTCTGGAAACTAATTTTTCCTTATAAAATTAATATCTCCCCATTGTGTAGAATAGAAAAGCACAAAGAGCAAAGATATGACCTATAATCCTGCTACCCAGAGATAATCCTCAGTAAGATGTTAGCACAGGTTCTTCCAAATATTTTTCTCACATCGCACACACACAAATATAAATATGTATACATGTGTATTTTAATATGTGTTCAATACATTAGCACATGTGTGTGTCTGTGTATCTATATAAATGTGTAATGGAATTATACTAGACATACTGTTTAATAACCTGCCTTTGTAAACTTAATTTTGCTTAACAATACACTGTGGGAAAAAAGTTTTCTAATTATTTGAAAACCATACCAACAAATAGAGTTGAGATTTTAGAAGTTATTCCAAATCCAAACCCAAAACCAATAAAATAACATCATAACATCATTTTATCATCATTGTATATACCACACTCATCAAAAATTGGTAGGATGTGGAGTTTTACAAATGGATTATTTATTCATTTGTTTATCTTGTTAAGAAAGAGTAGCACACCTGGCCTCCTGGAAAGAATACTGGCCGACTCTTCAGGAATCTAGAATAGTAATTCCAGCACAGAAAATAGATGTATAATCCAAAATAAGTTGTCTACACTTTATTCTCCTCAGCTTAAAAAGATTGTATTTACATTTCTTTTCACAAATTCTCCCTCTCTTTCCTCCGTCTCTTTCCTCCGTCTCGTGTGTATTTTCAACCTCACTCAATCGGCTACCTCCTTGCAGGGCAGGACATGCTCAAGTGTTGTTCACCTGTAAAACAAACCTAAAAATCTCTATTCCACTCTCACTCTTGGTCCTGCGTATGAAGGAGACTTTATTTTAATTTCCAGGGTTGTTTGGAAGAACTAAATTTGTTTTCACTTACTCATCTCCCATTCTCTCCCTCATCTTAGTTACTAAAATTTGCAGATGCTTTTTAATAGTGCTGATAACAAGTTTCCTAAAGAAACTATCTTCAACCTTGATTTCCATGTTACCATTCTCTCTTGGTCTTCCTACCTAATTTTTATTTGTTTATTTCTGTTCTGTCTTCTCTTTCCTCCCTTAAACTTTGGGTTTCTCAAAATTCTATACTTCCTTCTCTTGCATCCTACATAATTCTTGGATTAATTTATCTACTCCCATGTCTTCAATTCTTATTTGACAATGACATATATTTATGTGTTTGTCTTCAAGCCAGACCTTTTTTCTGAGTTATAAACCCATATATAAAATGGCCAGCTGTAAAAATAATAATAATGATTTTAAAAGTAGTCACCAATTGCTGAGTTTTGACTTTATATCCCTGTTCCAAACTTAGTAGTATAAACAACAAGCAATTTTTACACTCCCAGATTCTGTAGGTCAAGAATTCCAACAGGGTAAAGTAAGGATAGGTTGTCTCTGTTCCATGGTGTCTGGGGCCTCAGCTGGAATACACAAACAGTTTGAGGTGACTCACATGGCTGGAGGCTGGAATCATCTGGAAGCTTCTTCATTCACATGTCTCATGAGATGGCTGTGATGACTCAAAGGCTGGTCTTCACTGGGACTGTTGACTGGAGTCAGCATGTGACTTCTCCATATAGCTTGGGTTTCTCACTGCATACCAGCTGGGTTCTGAAAGAAAGTGTCTGAAGAGGGAGCATCTGGAGGGGAGACAGACAAAGTAGAGCAGAAGTGCTTTTCTTTTCACTTTGATGGCATAAGCTCTAAAGACTTAAAGAGCAGGATAACTTGAATAACTAGGTACTAGAATGCTCTGGAGGCTTTTTAACTCACATGTCTAGCACCCTTGGTAAAAATGACTCAAAGGCTAAGCTCAGTTGGGGCTGTTGACCAGAGTGCTTACATGTATCCTCCATGAGGCTTTGGCTTCTTCACAGTGTGGTGGCTGCTTTCCGAGAGGGAGAATTCCCAGATGGAGAGTCTAGAGAGCAAGGGTTGTAAGAGAACTAAGCAGAATTAGTATGGCCTTTTATGACCTAAACTTGGCAGTCATGTAACCTCACTTTCTCTGTTCTCTGTTGGTTACAGATGAGTCACTAAAGCCAGAAAGATCCAAGGGGAGGGGAATTATACTCCACCTCTTAGTGAGGAAGTAGTAAGGATACATCGCAGAAGAATATGTGGAACAGGAGATGTTGCAACCATATTTGAAAAATACCATCACAATTAGCCATGAATTATGACTCTGAATCCTCATATCAACTCTATGAAATGGTTAGAACTTTTATCGTTATTTTAAAATTTAATTTTCCCTAATTTTAATGATGAGAAAATGGAGGAGCATTTCTACCTAGGTGGCTTACTGGCACTAACCCAAATGTAATAGATTTTTTGCTCTATATCTTATCATCCTCACATTCTCTCTCGGTGAGTGATACCCCCATATGCTAAGCTGCTGAATCTGAAATCTTGCATTCATTCTTCCATCTCTCTCCTTCTTTATCACCATCCAATTCCATTGAATAACTATAGTCTGTTCATCCCCCTTTCTCCATCTTCACTGCTATTACTTTTGTTAAGGCTTTTGTCATCTCTTGAGTACATTATTATAACATCCTCAGATGTTGTCCCCTCTGGTCTTTCCAACCTTCCAATCTATCCTCCACACAGGTACCACAGTGACCATTCTACAACTGAAATTGGATTTTGATACTCTCCTCCTTAAATCTCTCTACTTCTACTTGTTGCCATCTGAGTAAATCCCACATTTCTTTGCATGGTATACAATGTTGTTATGCCTGCTTACTCTAGGTCAGGGGTTGACTGAAGCTACCTGGGTGTGAATACCATGCACACGCTGTATTAGAGGTGATGAAGCCTGTTTCTATGCAGAAATCACTGCTGTGTTTACAGAAGGTAGCTCTATGCCATTGGAGTTGATGGTGACCTTGTGGATATGAGAGCTCAGCTTTGCCAGACCTTCTATTTTATTAAGAGAAGCTAGACGACTTTATTTTTATGTGTTTTAAAACATCATCTCAATTTAAAAAAATACTGTGTAGGCAAACAAAAAACGTCTGTGTCTGAGTCAGCCATTAACCTCCTACCCAGGTCTCTCTCTGTTTCCTATTACCACTTTCTGTCATTGAATCTCCAGCTCTGTGCTGCTTGTTTGTTTAGGATTCTGCCTTCTTCTCTTAATGTCAAGTTCTTTGAAGGTTTGGCTCTTATCTTGTTCATGTTTATATCCCAATGTTTGACATAGAATGGGATGCTCAATATATACTTATTGGATGAATGAATAATATTCATAAAAATATTTTGTAAACTAATGCACTTTAAGTAAACTCAATAATTACAATTTCCATATTTCGCATAATAATCGTCTCCCCCAAATAAAAGGCAGGAAAAGGTTAAAATTAAGCTATGGAAATGAATAAAAGTGAAAATTACCAACAATGAGAAAGGAGATGGGTAAGGAAGTGACAAGAATGGATTCCAGCTCTTCTTCCCATTACTCCTGTGCCTTTGCTGGACCTGAGCTAAAATGTCCACCTGGCCTAAAATGTCAAAAGTCCTCTGGTCCTCACCAGGCTGTGATTGACTCTGTCCCTACATGACTCCTCTGCCTCAGCTGTCCAATGAACTGCTTCCCCAAGGGTGGCATCAACAAAGTCCCACAGCCTCAGGTCCCTTGAAACAGGCCTCAGCTCTCCCAGTCCCTGGAGCTCCCTCTCTCTCACGTGAAATCCAGCTCTAGACTCATGGCTGATTTGGGCTTGCTAAAAGCCCTTCATGGGTTTCTGGTTTTCTATAGTAAACCTACCTCAACAAGAAATAAAGATGAAACAATTACGTGATGACCCAGGAAAATATTATACATTAAACAAAACAGCATGTCCTTAGTTAGGAGGAAAAAACCCTGAGTATTCATATAACACAGTTGTAATTCTTCAATTCAGCACATATTGTGAACACTGCATTAATTGATATGGGGGTCCAAGAGTAAATCAAAATTGTTAGTGAAGATAAGAACAAGCAATCATAAAATAATTAAGGAACAATTTTAAGGAATACAGTAGGCACTAGATAAATGAGTGAATGAATCAATGATGTCAGCCTTTTAGCATGAGAGTGATTGCAAGCACACTTTTATATTTAAGTACTGTGGGTGTTCAGAGTTTATTATAAGATTGCAGTATAGTGAGCTTAGTTTGAGAAGGCTTCTTATAGGTGCAGAATTTGAAAAAATATAAGATTCAAAACGCCATGGATGAACTTAGAAGACATTCTGAAGGAATTAATATGGTTAACGATTTCCCTTGGAGAAATTTAATTTAAGTAGGTACTGGGAGACAGTGGTCCATTTCACTTAGATTAGTGGTATTCAACCACATTTTTACAAGTACACCTGTTTGTTTCAACTAGATATTGGTGCTCTATTAGTAATTTGTTAACATTAATAATGAAAGTTTTGGAGTTCTCCAACAATTTATATTAAAAATAATTGAGATTACTCTACACAATTCCCGTAATAATGCCACTCTCGCTTGCATTCTGATGGGCTTTATTTAATGGAGGAAATGAATGACGTTACAGCTAGAACTGAAGGAGGACATGGAAGGGAGAACATGTCAAGTGTGACTGCCATTATCAGAATGTTGAACACATGAGGCTGAAAATCATTGTTTCAGGGCTAGAAATATTTTCAACTGACATGTATCTAGATGCTCTCATATGTTGTCTGCTTTTGTCCATTATGGTATTTCCAGCATTTAATGTAGTCCGACATGTTTGTAGGCATGATTAATAAATATTTGCTTTTATTTTTGATGATATTCAGTTGGCCAACCAAATGTTAAACGAAATAATATTTCGCATATCTGTATATCTTTCAAGATTTGTGTACTCAAGATATTTGAAACACAGCTTTGAATAGGAAATATATTAAAAAATCAAAAATATTTGGTTTTCTAAGCAAATCTTTTCCTTTCCTCTCTTCTCCTTTCCCCTTCCCTTCTCTTCCCTTCCTTTCCTTCTCTTTCTTCTTTCTATAAATAAAGCACTTATTAGATATCAAGTGAATGCAATGGACTGAATGTTTATGTTCTCTCTAATCCATATATTGAAATCCAAGGTGATGGTGATAGGAGGTGGCGCCTTTGGGAGGTGATTAGGTCACGAGAGTAGAGCCCTCAAGGATGGGATTAGTACTTTTATATAAGAGGCCCTAGAGAGATCCCTTGCTCCTTCTGCCACGTGAAGACACAGCGAAAAGATGGCTGTCAAGGAAGCAATCCTCACCAGACACCGAATCTGCTGGCATGATGATCTTGGACTTCCCAGATTCCAGAACTGTGAGAAATAAATGTTTGTTGTTTATAAAGCACCTAGTGCCTGGTATTTTGTTATAGCAGCCTGAACAGACTAAGACAAATGACAATTTAAAAATGACTATTGGTGATCATTAGATAAGGAAAAACTCTAAAACAGTCATAAGAACTATGTATCTATGGAATTTGGAATCAGTTAGGATAACAAGAAATACTAAAAACTCCAGATGGTATCTTTGTATGTGACAGAGTATAACAATTGATGTTTATATGAATGCTACCAGGTAAGGAAAAAGGACAAATTATGTTTGACATATATTCTTTTAAAAGGCAGGAAAATATTGAATATATTTTAAGTGCCCATTAAAATATTAAAATAAAAGCAAGGTGTGGTACTTAAAAGGATGAGCTGTAGTCTTTGGGAAAACTCAGTCTATTGAAACACCTTGTTTCCTGAATATCAGATGGATGAAGCCTAAATGGAGCTATTTAGTAGCTACTAGACTGCTGACACCTTGCTTGTTCTGTTTCTGTTTCAGATGGGATAGAAAAGGATTTGCAGTCTAGGAGAGGAGGCCAAATGAACATACAGGAAATTGCTATAGAATAACTTAAAACTACAAATAATTAAGCCAGCCCTAGTGGTCTAGTGGTTAAGATTCAGCACTCTCACCTGTGCACATGGCCCGGCTTATTTCCCAGTCAGGGAACCACATCACCCATTTGTCAGGTGTCACTCTGTGGTGGCTGCATGTTGCTGTGATTCTGAAAGCTCTGCCGCTGATATTTCAAATACCAGCAGGGTCACCCACGGTGGACAGATTTCAGCAGAGCCTTCAGACTAAGACAGACTAAGAAGGACCTGGCCATCCATTGCCAAAAAATTGGCCATGAAAAAGCCTATGAAGAGGGGCTGGCCCCGTGGCTGAGTGGTTAAGTTCGCGCACTCTGCTGCAGGCGGCCCAGTGTTTCGTTGGTTCGAATCCTGGGCGCGGACATGGCACTGCTCATCAAACCACGCTGAGGCAGCGTCCCACATAGCACAACTAGAAGGACTCACAACGAAGAATATGCAACTATGTACCGGGGGGCTTTGGGGAGAAAAAGGAAAAAAATAAAATCTTAAAAAAAAAAAAAAAAGCCTATGAAGAGCAGCAGAACATTGTCTGATACGGCACCAGAAGGGAGAGGAGGGCACAAAAATGACGGGCAGGCTTCTGCTCTGCTGTACGTGGGGTTACACAGGGTCAGAATCAACTCCATGGCACTAACAACAACATATAATTAAATACCAGGAGAGGAAAAAGGGAGTCATTCCTCTTGTCTGGAGATTCTGAGAGTGCCTTCTGAAGGAGGTGGAATTAGAGGATGAATCCAATTTGGATAAAAAGAGGGAAGAGGTAGAAAACCTTCCCAGAAAGGTAGGGCAGGCCACAGAAAGGCTGGCTGTGGGGTGAACTGTGACCTGCATGGGGGTCTTGAGGAGCCGTGGAAAGCAGGGTCAGATAGATATTACTATACAGTAAAATTAGGAAGGCCTAATGGCCTATTTTCCCAATGTTTTACCTTCTTTACTCAGAGTATCACTTACCTTGAAGAGAGACTGTAGTTATTGCTTGTTCTAGAGGCACTTTTAATCTTTAACAATATGATGTGTTCACATTACTTAAAAAAAGAGAGAAAAGAAAAGCTGCCTTCTTTCAAATCAGCATGGTGACATAACACCCAACTCTAGATTCTCCGTTTTATGTTGATGTCTACTTTGAAATGTGTGATCTTCTTGATTACTAGTATCCTATAATCATGCTACGTTCTTTCCTTTTGATCATACCCCATGTCGTCTTAAGAAAAATCTTTTACCATGAAACTCTTGTGGTTAGAACATCTAACCACTGTAGAGATTCTGGTGCCTTCCACCGGCTTCTCTATAGGCCCTTCTGTGGTAGTAGCCATTGTGATCAAAGCCCGGGAATCTAAGCAAAATTGCCTGCATTTGAACCCCAGCTCTGTCAGTATTAGCTGTATGACCTGTCCATATTACCCAAACGCTCGGATTCTCAGTTTCTCCATTTTCAAGTAGGGATGAGGATGGCAATAGCTTCTACATCAAAGTGTTATTATGAGTATTAAATAAATTGATGCAGATAAAACACTTAGAATAGTGCCTGGTACATAGTAAGTGTCATATAAGGGTTAGCTATTACTATTATCACTAACAGGAGAAAAAATGTACACCTAATATTTAGTATAACTATACTCCCCATATAAACCCATTAAAAATTTTATATTTCAAACTTAAGTTGCATTTTAAATGATTCTTGCAATAACAATTTAGTTTTAAAAGGACCTCAAACACCTTTTAACACAATCTCTCCTCTAATGCCATAGAAAAAGGCCTGGGCGTGGAGTAGAATGTAGTATCTACTCAACCAAGATTTGCTATGTGAATGAATGGAATTGCTAAATGCTAAACAGTTAAGAGATAGACTGGTAGTTATTGTACTAAGTAGAGGTATACTGGGTGCTTTGGGAACACAGAAGAGGTGGATGTAAGCCCAATGTGCGTAGGAGTAAGTCCATACAAGATACTCAGTCAATGATACTCAGCTGAGTCCTGAAGGATGCACAGGAGTTGCCCTGGTGAAGAAGCTGAAAGGGTTTAGATAGTCCTTTTTTGATACTATTGCTAATCAAACAATTCAAAATAGGGCAATTAGTTAATGAGGATCATTTTGTTGATGTTTATACCATAATGCGTACCTGAAATTTCACTCTATAATCTCTTGTTCTAACTGGTATTGAATTGTTCCAAACAGGTAGAGATTCCTGGTAATACAGATTAAAAATATGCATCTTCAAGTTTTTTGAAAAATCTAATTGAAAGAAAAATAATAGCTATCTTTTATTGAGTAGTTAACATGTACTGGCCTTGTAATGAACTCTTTTAAAGAATTAAGCCATCTAAACCTCACAAGAAGAAAGTTCTCTTATTGCCCACGTTAATAAAGTGAGTAAGTAGCACAGCCAGAGTCTGAATTCAAGGCAGCCAAGTACATGCTCTTAATTCCTACACTAAATGAGGTTTGGGATTAATTACCCACTAGAAATACTGTCTTATTTTCCTTTTATATAATTTGAAGAAGTAGTCAGAAAAATAACTTCATTAATGTTATTAATTCGGATTTTCATTCTGAGAACTTTTGTAAACTGTTACACAAAATGTAACCCACAAGTCCCCCTTCAACACTCCAAGGATAAACCCATCACAAGATTTCTTGCTGGTCAGCACTGTTCTCCAGCTGAAAGAGCTTTTGCAACCACGTCGTCGTTTGTTTTTTTCCCCTAGTGGGTATAGAAAACTGCTTGAATAATGCATATCGCCTTCTGTATTCTTTCAGCAGAACATTTGCATATTTAAGTCATTACGATAGATTCCTAGTATGGACTCAGAATTTTATAATAAGGAAGAAAGCTTCATTTGTAAATACCTGGAATAGTAGTCAATGTCTAATTGTATTACATACATCCAAAAACACAAAAAAGATCTGGCATTCATCAAACAATTTCTTTCAAATAAGGAAGTAGAGAACTCAAGTTCTTTCTCTCATTAAAGCAGCTTCATTTTCAGGCTTCCTTCATAAAAGGAGTTGAATGCATGAAGGCCATCTGGCTATGTTATAGCCTCCCCTTAGACATTAATAGGTGTAGAGTTCAGGCCAGTGTCTCCCGCTACCGCCAGGCAATATGACCATCATCCTCTATCATTCTGGAGATCACTCCTTTTACGCTGTTTTTCAAGTCCTTTTCTTTACATATGTGCCCACTATTGACAACAAACCACAATGTTGGATACCATTAGGTTTCCACTAATGTCTTCTAGACATTTCTGTATTTTTCCAAATCAGAGGATATAACTGGCTCCACCAGGAAGTAAAGTAGAGGTCACTGCAGCAGCAGTGACTTTCAAGCTGTTTGCTAAATTTAGCTGTCCAATACTTTCCACTCTAACGAAAACTATGAACTACAATTATAGAATGTTGGAACAGAATAGAGCTTAAAGGTCATCGAGTCCAATCCCCTTGTTTTTCTGACGAAGGTAAGGGGACCTAGATTTAGCCTGTGAATTGCTTCCGCCACAGAGTTTGCTGATGGTAGAGCTGGAACTTGAACTAACATCTGCTCAGGCTTGACCAATGTTGTCCTCACTGTACCACAGATGCTCTGCCTCCCGTGATCCGTTTTACCTAACCAGATCTAGCAGCACAAATGTAGCCGATGTTATTGGTTGTGGCTTACCCTCTGTGCCCATTCATCAGTTTGGTGGCTGAACGTGAAATAGCAAAGGTATCAGACTTATAAGTTGCTACAAGAGAAATGAAATGATTCCATACCCAAACCCTGCCCCCAACTCTAAAAACTTCTTGCTTTATGTTCATCAATAATGAATAGCCCATCCCTGCAATACTCAGAGGGAGCTTACATTGCACTTTTGAGCAGCCGGTTGGTAATGTACAGTGGATAGAGCCTCTCTTTCAAATCCCATGGCAGAGGGTCCTTCAAGGCTAGCATTGCATTTTCAATTAGCTGCTGAGTGAACGCTTGGCATGTGTATTAGTGAAGAGGCACACAATTAGCTTATTGTTCCTTGTTGTATTGTGCTGAGAGGATCCAAGGGATTGGTAGAGGACCAGGCAAGCCAGGCATCACTGTGGATGTTGAAGAAGGGAGTTACTCGGATCTCGACATCTTCACTTGCTTGCTCTGGAATTACAGCTATTTATTACAAAGCACTCTGTGTGGCTGGGTGGAGTGCGCCTGAGGAATCACATCCCAGACACCACCTGGGGTTAGTCTTTCCGAGCCCTTCACGTTTCTGACTAATTCTCATCATTATCATGGAACCCAACAGTCCCAAAAAGATACAATTTGCTGTGCCTTTATTCCAGAGTCAGATTGCACCCGAAGCAGCAGAGCAGGTAAGCGGAATTGGGTGGGGACCAATCCTGCATAGAAGGTAATAGAGACAGATGTTCTTGTTATTAATTGAAAGCTTCTCCACCTTTTGAATTTGCCTAACTTTGTGACTTTGTGATATGTGAATGAGAAATAAGTCGATTTCCATATGCACTTGTATTTGGGTTGCATCGGGGGAACTATTGGCTAAAACGAGCACTCCATATGATATAAAATTAGCATCGGTTAGGGAAAAATGGTTATATTAGCGATTCGGATTTGGATCCAAAAATCTGTTGGCTTTTGCTTATTAAAATAACTGGTTCCACACTTAGAGGAACTTAAAAAAATTCTCAAAATTAGCAACTTTTTATTTCATTTTTTATAAAATAAAAGGTTCATTTAACAATGAAAGCATTAACTCTTGGAATAATTTCAGATTATAGGCTTAATAAAGTTTTCACAGTGTATCCAAAATAGTAATTATAAGTATATGTGATATATGATAGACAGGATTTGTAGTCATATATAATTTAGAAAACGTTTTATTCAGATATTAAATATAGTATTTGAATATTTCCTGGATTCCTTTTCCATGTCTGATATATCTATATATCTGTATTTCTCTGTCTCTGTCTCTCACTCTCATGTGAGATTGGTTTACATCTGTATCACCTTTCATATTCAGATTTACTTAGACTCTTGATGCAATGGAAGCACTTAAAAGATCATTGGTGGTAAAATTACAATAGTGGGGAGGTAAAAGCAAAGAAATTTATGGAGTCATCAACCTAATTCATTACTTTCATAAAACTGAAATTATCCCTGAATCCTTTTCCAAATATTATATTCAAAGTCTTAAAAATGCTTATTAAATCTGAGGCTCAAATTTTCTAGGATGTTTTGATATTCTGAAGTTTATCCACTCAGACTCAGGCCAGATAAATACAACCTTGAACATGTATCTGTGTTGAGTGGGGCATTGTTCTATCCTGGACAAGACATCATTGGTAAATTTTTTCCTCTATCTTACAGACATATACTTGGGGAATTTACCTAGGTATTTAAGAAATCAAGGACACGTTAGAGATTCTAATCATAATATGCTCCTGTAACTCTTAACATAAAAAAAAACTCCACATCGAACCTATTAGTTTTAAGTGAATCATATATTCTCATAAGATCCGTATTCATTCTTTATTTGTTGATTTGTTCTAAATATTATATTAGAAAATAAGAAAAGCTTATAATATTAATGAAATTTTAAAATCATACTTTTAAACTTAACCTGCTAGAGATTTGCGTTTTCTAAGCTTCTTTTACTCTGTTTAGAAATAAGGGTAATGGATCTTGAAAGCATCATCAATGTTATACGGCTCCAAGAGAGCCATTAAAATTAGCAAGTCATTCTTGTCACTTCACTGCATATTTATTTTCATCATTTGATTGTTCGCAACTATTTCTCTTCTCTGGAAATGTAGCTTTTTGGTCAAAGAAGGTAATACTAATATCTGACTGTTCTGCCGTCTGCCTTTTTATTATTCAGAATAAAATTAGTGAGCACCTATCGTGTGCCCTCCAGAAACTGGCTTTTGTGTGTTGGGAAAAGATGAGAAGGGGACAGGTTTGCAAACTGCAGAGCAACCTGGAGCAGCGTCTGACTCTCACTGACCTTAGCTGGGCCTTTTTTGTTCACAGATCAGGAAAAGAAGACCCACACCAGCGTCACTTGTGATTCTCAATGAACATAATCCCCCAGGTAAGGAAGTATGATCTCTTTCTTGCTGATGGAACAGAATAGAATTGTTTGAAGAACATCAAAGAGCATGACATTCCCAAAAAAATTCAATTCAGGCTTTCAGTTAGTAATAATCTAACAAGCTAGTCTATAAAATGGATCATAAACAAAATCAGAAATAAATGTTACAGGAACTGTCTCAGGCAACAGCCTGCTTTCCCTCTAGAATGACACATCGGTGATGATACGCTACGAAATGTTTTGTTAACATTTGCTGTCATGTGTTCAGGGGTTTGTATAGAATCTGGTTCAGTGCTTATTAATGAGGCTCGTGGAAAGTTATTTAATTAGATTTCAAAGCTCAAATTACGCCCCTAGAGTTGCTTATATCTTTACAGAGTATATTTTTTATTTATGAAAGGTTGTCATGGAGTGGGCAATGTGCCCGTACTGGTTACAGCTTTGCTGCTAATGTCATCTCTAAATAATGCAATTGACAAGTAACCAGATCAATTTTCAGCACTGCCCATTTGTGAGCTGTTCTGAAGGGCTGCATCCATTTGTTGAGGTTTTCTTTTCCATTTCCTGTAAAAAGTAAAGCTGCATTATTATTCCTGATACAGGCCTATGATCTGCAATACACAAACATTATTTACTTATTGAATGGGGGTGATTTTAATCTCACACATAAGTGCTCTTTCTAGAAATGCAAGTAAGACAGCAAAGGTCATGGCATTAATTTGTAACCAGGCAGGAGTTGGTATTGGATTTTGGTAGGTATAAACAATAAGGGTGGAGAAAGGGAGTTTGAATGCTGGAAACATAATAAGTCTAAGTCTAAGTTGTAGTGAATGATCTGTTTTAAAAATACCAGGGTAAAATAGTCTTTGAATTTTTCAGATTCGTTTCTAGTTAGAGAAATATACATGAGATAAGAAAGCAAAATTCTAATAGAATATTCATCATTGAACCCAAATACAGAAAGGTGTTCAGCTGGTGGGAAAGAAGCAAATTTATTCCTGCTGAAAACGAAGAATTATAATTAGATCCTATATCTTTGAAGTGCTATACAATTTTAAAATCATTTTCAAATATACTATCTCACAATAAATGTTAACAATTATATTTGGTTGAATAAGAGGTGCAAACAGTATGCACTTATAGTTTACAAATAAGTACAAGCAAATAAACTTAATAATAAAATCTTCTCAGATTGGAGGTAATTTCACAGCAATTTCCCGTCACTGTCTTTGCTCATAGAGGCAGACTTTTCCACAGTGTCCCAGAGCTTCCCTCCCTACGCCAATCTTGAAAAGTGTTGCCCAACTTGATTTCTACGTGTCCTTTTGCATACTAAAGAGAAGCCTTCAGTGTTCTGCAGGCGTTGTGACTGAACGTAGTGAAGTCATGTAACTACCATTGTGGCTCTCATTTGAGCCCTATTTCTTGAATGCCAAATATGTACCATTTACAGATGAGGAAAGTGGGCAGCAGAGAAATCAAGTGATTTTTGCTTAAATTCTTCCATAGAAGTGACAGATTACACTCAGATAATTACACTCAGACAATGACAGACAAACAGATAATTCTAATTCTAAAGCCCATGCATTTCCTACAGCATGATGCTACGCCTGCAAATTTCAGTTTGCATTACATAGTGAAGGAATGTGACTAGCCATTCAGGCTCTATCAACAAGCAAACCCAAACTTTAAATAAATCCTTTCTCTGGACCACTTAGCTTAGTGTATTAGGAATTATATTTAAATATACCTGTGAACCAAATTTAGATTTTCTCTAGAAATCTTTTTCTTACCAAATCTCCTAATCATTAGGTGGCATTGTCCTATTTCTCCTATTGACTCCATCCTTCTCCCTGTTTATAAGCACCACTGGAGAGAACTTAGATGCAAATAACATCTCATAAAGAAGTATATCTTTTTAGTAATATCATATCCTCAATCTTCATCCTCCTTTTAGAAATTCAAATAGTTTACAAGGGCCTGATCAGCCTTTAGCTGTGTATAGCAATGTGTATGGCAACCAGAACTTTTGGGGCTAGTGATGAATTCTTGCAGCAAAAAAATCAAATGCCTATATTGCTTTCCCAGAAAAAATGATCTAGAACCATGATTACTGGGGAAATAATCTAAGGACCCAACAAACAAACAGCAACAAAAGAACATCTCACCAAACCAAACCAGACCTAGAGACTAGTTTTTCTTAGTCATGCGGTCTTGGGTAAGGGGCAACATCTCCAAGCTTTATCTCCTCATCTACAAAATAGAGATTACAATGTCCACCCTTTCTAGTTCACAGGGTGGTTGTAACAATTGAAAGAGTTAATGTGAATGCTCCTTAAAAACTGCAAAGTGCAACAAATGTTAGGTGTCATTAGCTGACATATTCTGGAATACAACCTTCGCAGGTGATCTTTAAGAGTTAAGATAACAGGAAGAACAGAATCTTCATAATCTCATCTTCACTAAATATTTCTGCCCAACTCAACAATTCTTTGTGTTCCAAATATAATCTGAACACTTTCTATCAAACAAAACCAATGACGACAACAACAACAAAAACTTCGTTGTGTTAGATGATCTTCTTTATGCAATTGCTTCTCTTAGCCCTCAAAAGCAATGTGTTCTTTGACAAATAAAAATTGAACGCAACTTTAAACCGTGGTAAACTAAACAAATCTCTTCAGTTTATTGAAATTGTGCAGGAAACAACTCAGTGTTCTTGGAATTACCTGTCATTAATGCTGTTTAAAATTCAAATCCCTGAAAATCTTTCTTTATTGTCAATTAATGAAGCAAAGAAAATTAAATTTTCCATTATAGAGACATAATTAACAAACCCTTCCAATTCACATGATGAGATCAGTCTATTGTAATCATTGTTAAATGAATTAGACATGGCTCCTTTTTATTTTTTTTAAGCTTTTCAGGAGTTTTCAGAAATAGTCATTTATAAAAGAGTATTTGGAAGAATGATTTGATTTTAGATTTAGAAATACATATGCATTCTGTTTATATCTGATAGAGAGGAAACAGGATAGAAAGATATTTCATCATGTAAAACCAGATTGTTTGCTACTTCATCGATGCTGGGCTAAACACATGGGTGAGGTAGGCACCTGATTGATAGGATTCCAGGGACAACAGAATGTCCCATCAGCCCCTCCCCAGCCGATGGCCTGGAATTCTCAGCAGTAAAGGCATTACAGCAACAGACACATAACCTGGTAAGGATATGTCACCCTCTGGCACAGATTAATCAGCTTAACTCAAAATAATGGGAAACAGGACTAAAATTTTTGAATTGAAGGCATCATGTCTGAAAAGAATTTCATAGCAAAGGATGTGTTTTTATGGTAGAGAGAGCAAACACTATGTGTTTGCTTCTACGAATGACTAAACAGCCAGATAGCTAAGATACTGGAAGCTGGAGCAGAGAAGCATCGAAGACAAATTTCATCTTCTTCAAATGTTTTCTGGGGCTGCCAAAGTGAGTGACCTTGTAGCAAACTGCTTATCTGTCTGTATTTTCGGTTCATCTGATTAACGGCCTATTTATTGGAAGCCTTCCGAGGCTTGCAGTAGAGTCTCATTGTCTATTCTTGTACTGTGTGCTGGTTACTTTTACTCTTGTATAACCTGTAGTTAACCGGTTTGGTTCCTATATTTTTATTTAGAGGGATGACTACACAGAAATTCTGTTTAGAAATAAATGGCAATGCCACTTTCTGAAGTTTATTTCATCACATTTCCAGATTTACTTAAACATTACTTGTCTTTAAGTAGACTTGCGAGAAGACCGTATATATGGCCACCAGTGTTAGAGATCTAGCATTGGAAAAGAACTTCAGGAAATACCTAATCTAACCATACATCTTCATGAAAGATATATAAATCAACCTGAGTCCCTGAGACTTGCTCTGTTTTATATACCTCAGAAAAGAATCCTTAATTACCCCTAGTTTTCAATTCCAGATCGAACTATTTTCGATGCTAGAAAATATAGTTTCTTAAACCAAATTTGAGTAATGTCCCATTTTATTCTAAAATAACTCTTCGTTTTCTCTCTTCAATAAAAGTTCATTTACTCAGCTTTTTAAATCTATAAAAGATTTCTTTATTATTTCCTTTTCTGGATTGAATATACCCAGTCCCCTGTAAGGACCTTAATGAACTATCCAAATTCTCCTTGTCTCTTGGCCCTTGGGGCCCAGAACTAGGCACAGTGTTCTGGTAAATAACCAGCCTAGACCAGGCCTTCTAAACATTAAAGTTTGTGGCATCCATTCTTCTCCACTTACTGTTAAGCAGAGACAATATGGTTACAATTAAATTTAGTGGATCTGATGCCTATTAAACATGAGTGAACTGTAAGAGGCCTGGAACTTAGTGAAGATTTAGGTAAGTACTGAGGAGTTTTGGCATCATTTAAAAGTTTGCTGTACATCTGAAAAGTGGAACCAGAAATATAATGTAAAGTGGTTTGGGAGATGTTTACTGAACTTCCTATCACAGCTGAATTGGGGGAAGATTGATTTCTCTTTGACACTTTTAGCTCCAAATATTCTTAAAAATGAGGAATAAAAACAAAAGCATTTTCTCACATGGATCAAGATCCTAAAAATTAGTTAATATGAGACAAATGAATTAAACATCGCACCATCTCCTTTCAGCCTTGATAGTAAGTCTAGTCAGTAGAGAGAGCTGGGAATCCAATTGATTACGCTATTCAGCTCCCAAACTGAAAATAAAACCACAGACCATTCTGGACGTAGCATATGATGTTCTAAAGGAGGCTTGCATTTTAGGACTCTGATACCAAGTTAACTAATGAGATTTTGAAGCCTCTGGATTTATAATCCTGAGACATTGGATGATAGCTAGAAAATATTACTGGACTCAGACTGAATTGTTCCAAACAGAGGAGCCCCAGGAATTTCTAACGATGGGAGGTTTTTCAGGGTCAACAAAACTAACGCGAAGATTTATTCCAGCATTAGGGC